CGTTGAAGTTGACTATTTTCATACGCGATGAAATCAAGATGCCATTTTGACAAAACAAATCACCGCTACATAAATAAGCAATGGACATTCTCGAAGTATACTATTAGTGACTCGCGACCTATTTCTGTCCCATTATGTGCGTTTGATAGACCACTCCACGACGCTTTATTTTCATGGTATTATAAACTGCCGGGTTGTCTCTTTTCCCAAGAATTCTAATTTTTTGAATTAGCCGATAAACATTACAACCGATTCTGATTTATCGGTCGAAGTTTAGTAAATCTCGTTATTTTACTGACAGATGGTAATTTTGATACTATGTATTGTCTAATAAATCCAAGATTTCCAGATTGATTATACCTTGATGTAGTAGTATCTTCTCCATGGTTAACAGTTACCGGTGAAATACTTAAATTTGTCTCTGGTTCCGGTAGTATGCAATGATTCAGATTAATAACTGGATTCGAAATATTATTGCTTGTATTCGTACTCGTCTTCAGTATTATTGAATTATCGAGCAAACCTTGATAACATAGGAAAAATACCACGACTTATGAGAAACGAAATTTGGCGCTGTTCTTGACGATTGTTCACTCATCACATTAATAGCCTAGTTGTAATTTCCTGGTTTGCCCCAGAAGTAGGTAATAACATTTCAGGATCTCTGCTAGGTCGCTGTGGTGATTAAATGAATGTAGATGCCATCTCGGCTTTCCTAAAAACTGTATTTGATATATTAGAAAATTTTGGTGATTGAAAATGGTTTCCTTGAATAACCGTAGTAGATGATAAAGTAATCCTTGATTAATCGCTCGTATAAGTAATATTTTGAGTTGTTCTACCAGAAAGGTTCATCCTCGCTTCAAAAGAAGTATTAGGGCGCATGCGAGTTGCCGAAAACATTGCTCTGAAACTCATAGGTTCCAAAACGTTCTTTATAGATGAAATCGGGTTCTCCGGCAAGTTTGTCTTTCGTTGAAATCCACTTGAATATCTCTATTGTTATCGTGATGCCGTAATAATATGGAGGTTATCAAGTATATAATCTTTTAACGCTCCTCTAACGTCTTCTTCGTTTTGATGTGTCATAAATTTTATCGTAAGTCTTAAACGTTGGTTGCGAATAACATTGGATACAGTCATCAAAGTGATAAGTTTTGACCTCGTCAAAAAATGAAGTCTATCTCTTGACTGGAAGTGGAGTACGAGCAGTACTTGCTTTAGTGATGATGGTACTTTTACCAAGATCAGGATAATATATAGGCAGTGTATTGTTGATAGAAGCTCGAATCAGTTTTCTTCTTGACTTTGTTAACTTCCTTTTTTTCCTAAGCTCTAATGGTTATTAAGCACAAATTAATAAAATAAACAAATGTAATTCACATTAGAAATGTTTGCTTATGATAGATATCGTTGTTCTTTCCTTTTTTCTATTATATAAAAATCTATACGTAATTTTAGAAATGAAATTCTATTTACCTTTTTCAGCGGTGAGCTGTTCCTCGCATATCTCAAATTTCTCCTTATCAATACGGGGAGAGGGTGCCACTTTCTGCAAAACTTATCGCCTTGCATTCTTTCGTTATGCTTTTTCGTCCACAACATGGATTGCAGGATTGCAAGTACAATCACTTCGCCTTTTCTTTGTTATTATTTGTTGGTAATCATCGTCATCGTCGCCATTGAAGATGCCTTTTTTTCTCGGCAATTTTGCAGTATCGTCACGATCTTAATCTATTCCAAAGTTAAATTTGTTAAAAACTTAAATATTTAATAAACAATTTAATGATTTCTAATACATTCATTTAACTTACCTCTTTGGCCTTCCCTTTTTTTTAGGTTGTTTTCGCAATGACCATTCAAGATTATATAAACTAAAATGTCGCGAACACCTTGAACATTTGTAAGAAGTTATATCCATAGGAAGTGGCGTAAATTTTCCTTTTCGCATTATCTTTGAAGTTTGAAGTTATTTTGACGATTTTCATTATACGACGAAGTCAAGATGCCATTTTGACAAGACAAATCACCGCTATATAAATAAGCAATGGACATTCTCGAAGTATACTATTAGAGACTCGCGACCTATTTTCTGTCCCATTGATAGACCACTCCACAACGCTTTATTCTCTGGTATTATAAATTGTCGGGTTGTCTCTTTTTCCCAAGAAATTCTAAGTTTTGAATAGTCGATAACATTACACCCGATTCTGTTCAAGTAAATTTATCGGTCGAGGTTTAGTAAATCATTGACAGATGGTGATTTTGATGCAATGCATTGTCTATTAAATCCAAGGTTTCTAGAATGATTATACCTTGATGTAGTAGTATCTTCTCCATGGTTAACAGTTACCGGTGCAATACTTGAAATTTGTCTCTGGTTCCAGTAATATGCAATTATTCAGATCAACGCAGATTAATAATTGGGTCGAAACATTATTGCTTGCATCTGTATTCATCCGGAAAAGTAAAGATGGCCTCAAGAAGATTATATAAGCTGTATAAGCCCAATTCTCTTTCGGTTTTTTCGACGTTCTTCTGGACGTTTTCATATGGAACCCTATCATTACAAAAGTGTTATATGATAATTGATTTAAAATATTCGATCTTATTCTAAGAACTTACCAATCAGTTGCATAACCTCCCTGTAAGGATGCAGCACGAAATCGTTTTCTTCGAAGTCGCTCGAAAAACTTACCATTCTTAGATTGATATTGTTATCGAAGTATGGTTCTCAATGTGAGTTTAAGTGCACATATCCAGTACTGGTGTTTCATCTGAGGAATGGTTTGTACCATATCTCTCTAATGTTGGACTTTTCATTTTTTCATTGAAACGTTGAAGGCTAAAAAATCTAGGTGAGAAACTTGTGGACATATTCAACTTAAAACTATAGGTAATTATTAAAGTTGATATAGCATTGAATAAATAATATATTTAAATTAAACAAGTATTAACAATATTGAAATACGAAGTTTGTTTGGTGATATAATATTAACAAGTAATTAAAGACTTACCGGTGGGTGCTGGTAGATTTTCTTTTTCGCATTCCTTAATAACTCCTTCCAATACGACTTCAATCGTTTCTCTGAATGTTCCGATTTTACCTGTCATAAAAGTAATGGTATTAGCAGTGCAACATTTTTATTTAATAAGAGAAGGTGCATAACCGATTCATTCTCAAGAAACCAGTAGACCCTTATTAACAACAAAGTTAGGGCACCTGCATTGAGAACTATGGAGTGGATACCAAGTTGTCAAATGCAGTAATTCTCCTGAGCCTGACCTTCTATTCAGGATGAAAGTGGACTAGGAGTTACCCAATAACAACAAAGTTAGGGCACCTGCATTGAGAACTATGGAGTGGATACCAAGTTGTCAAATGCAGTAATTCTCCTGAGCCTGACCTTCATGAAAGTGGACTAGGAGTTACCCAATAAAAATAAATGCACCTTTTTCTACA